TTACAGATCAACGAACTATACATGGAGGGTTTTAGATAAAATTTGCTAGCTTTTTTTGACTTTCAAAATGCATTCCAACATTTTCTTATAGATCTAACTGTTTCAGACTTATTTGATGGGCTAAATTCATCTACTAACTTGGCCAGGAGCCCTTACTAATAACTAACTATGCAGGATAAAGGAAGAGTGTTAGGCATTGAGTAAGCCACATGATACCGTGGATAGCCATTTCAGTCAAACAATGTGTTGCGCATGCCCGTAAACATGTCATTTGATGTGCTTAAACTATGATGAGTTTACCTTAGTCGGAAAACTAGGGTGAGGATCGAGGATTCGATGACAAGATATGCTACTCTAATCCGAGTGTCACAAACCCTCGATTGAGTAACAGACGAAGACTTTTTATGAAGTAGAACATGTATTCTACAAGCATCCAGAGAGTACGAGGTCCGAGTTCAGAAGAGAATGTGGATCTCGAACCAAAGATCACGGTCCGGATCATAAAACATTACAGATAATGCGTATTTATACATTTAGGTAGAATAGGGAACAACACTGAGGTCTGTGAAATTCATAGTCTGGACGACCAATAGGAATTGCTCCTACGAACAATTAGGACAATTTTTCGGAAAAAACATTTGAAGTGACATTGATAGCTTGAACGATCATTATATTCACCGTTAGGAATCGACCAATAGAATCAGACGTAAAAAAATTCGATGAATATCCCAATACAATGCTAACCAAAATAGTCTGCATTGAATAAACAAGCGTTTTCAACGCACAGCGCTTAATTATGACAAAGAACTCGAGTAAAGGAGAAGTATAATCAACCTTTGAACCATCCCAAAGGTCAGGATCTATAACAGAAACATGATGAATCTGTAATCGGTAGAGTCATACTTTCATCTTATGAGCCCAGCACCACCTATGCACAAATCTTGCTATCACCGACCGAAACTCTGTATGAGAACCCCCTATCTGTTCGTTTGATGCCTGTAGAGGGAGACTCTTAGACACCTGAGGCACAATACTAACATATGTCGAAAAGTCAACACAGCATAAACATCCGTATAATCTTGTAAGGCCAAAAAATACAAGTTCGTAAATCAAGGTATCGAATCATCTATCTAATATGGATCACCGTGGCGACGATATACGGAAGCTACCAAACTCATCCCCTCAATTAACAATCACAGGTAAGTTTACAAATAGACAAATGATTATGTGAATATTGGAGATTCGAAAAAGATTAATTTTCGTATATATAATGATGAGGGCGCAGCTGTTTGACGCTTTGGCTATATTTCATGACAGTCGTGACAAAGAGCTTGTGATATGATTTCCAGGTGGGTAGTGAAACCAGTCCAAGGATACAAACATGAGGCAATCACTCAAACTAGACAAATTTAGTTTCAATTAGAACAACACATATAAGCGAACAATACTGTTTTCGATTAGATCGTCATCAGGCTTTACTCTAATATACATGAATATTTATATGAAAATGTTAAACCAATCAAGGCAATTTGAGTGATAATCACAATGAAATGAAAAAGGCAAAAGTACAAGTGGATAGTAGGAAGATAGGTTTCAGTTAATTAGAATATATATTTATGTAGCATATTACACTGTTATCAAGCTGTATAAAGGTATAACTTGTAAGGTATGGGTCAGCTGAAAGGTAATTTGCAGATGGAAATGGCAGGGAGCTGAAGAAAGAAAATGAAGAAAAATAATGTTAAAAGTTTATGAGTGAGGCGATAAGTAAGTAAAAAATCTAGTAGTTTGAGTGCTAACAAATATTAATTAACTGTTAGCACATGAACGAGAAGTAAAGCACAATGATACAAGATAGCTTGGGTTTCTTGTGATTGACGGTAGTTGAGCAGCATCTATAGAGTTTTTAATTTATCTGTCTACTTGAAATAAAAGCTGAAAGCGCTGTTAAAATAAGAACATCATGATGCGAATTCAAATAATAAGGAAACGACGAATATTGGGGGCAGGAGCATAAAAGCGTGCCTTACTACTGTTAGTTGGGGTAAGGTAATTTGTCTATCTTTTCGTCATACCTGTATGGATTGTAGTGGAGCTGCGGAGTATTCGTTGTCTGTTCATAGTTTTGGTGCTAGTAGTGTACACGCGTTGTTTCTGAGTCTCTCTAAAGGCTCATGGCTTATAAGTAAGGGGGAGGGCTGCTACAAATTTAATTATCCGAAACACGTGAATTATCGCTAGTAGGAAAGTAAACAGATTACTCATCTGAACTTGCTACTGATCACCTGAGTTACTAATTGCTGCTTCCACTGTGAATGAATTATGAACTGTTACAATCTGTGGTTATTCTGACGAATAATCTTACGGAATTTCGTCCTTTCAAATTATTAAAAGTTTGTACACTTAATGTGTTTTAATAATAATTATATAATGGCCTTAGAGGTAAGTGAAACAGGCTTATATAGAAACGTCGAATCTTTTTATGGATTGTAGGCATCTTTTGTGATGTGCGAAGGGAAACAAGCCACAGTTTTAACACAATTGTTAACCTTCCTGGTTTAGATCAAAGCATATCTAAATAGTCTTCAAAGATATCCAAGTTTTTGCTTCATAGCGATTCTGAAGTGATAATCGACAGTAAATGCATTTTCTGTTCAAACTGGTTACACCTCCAAACATCCAATACTTACTCTCAAAGTCACGATTGGAACCTAACGGAATTCAGTAAGAAATCGGTGAAACAAACGAATGAGCTTTTCTGTACTCTCAGGAGTACAAACTACGAGGGCATCTGTGTTCTTTGCTGAAAAAAATTACCCATTAGGGACCTGCAAGTTCAATACTACTACTCAGGTCTAGTGTCAGTCAATGGTCTTGAGAATATTTGACTTGCGCTTGGGTAAGACATCAGTAAACTTAAATCTCTGTGCCCAGGAAAGTCACCGGATAGTGAAAATTTTCGCTCATTAAACTTGAAGCCTTGTGAGGTCATGTGACAGCTACCACTTTCCAAACACCCTGCCGCCATGAGACAAACTTACTCAAATAATGCGACATTCAATTTCTTGAAGAACTGATAACTTAATGCAGTCTTTGTCTAGAATATCATCCAGTGGTCATAACTAAGTACTTGAAACTGTACCGGCACAAAAATAAGCGAACGAAAGAAATCAGTTAGCTAGGGGAAACACATTGGACATTGGAGGCGTGGAATATCACAGTCTAAAGGAATCATTGTTGCATATAAATTTCACGTGAACTGTATTGATCAACACAAAATATATATGTTATAAAGGAATTAAAATTGGAGAACAAATATGACCGTGTACTTGAGAAGTGTTAAGGAACGCGTTTGTACACATCGAGTACCTATACCTACTGAACCTTGTAAACAGCGGCAATATCATCTTCACTGCAACTTCCCGTGGAAATGGGGACGCTTGCTGCTGACGAAAAACAACCGTTTTTGATCGAGAAAGCAGTTTCAAATCATACTAAAAGAGATACCGATCCATGGTACAAGAAGCCAGTTTGGAACACTGACGAGAAAACTAAGCATATGATGGGGCGCACTGTGTGTGGATGGGGTTCGTTGGTTTCCTATTGACTTCAAAATTATTTTCTAGTTAAGTTTTGGTTGCATTACCTCATCTTGTACATATGCTTGCTCACTATAATGACTGGATTGCTGATAATAATAACTCAGCTTATCATCAGTAATGATCAACCTTACATAACTGGAATGGATAGTCCGCTTGCACTTTCACCAGGTTTGTTTTCATATGTTTTAATTTCAGTAACTTTTCGCACTTCATTCTTTGTCGATAAAGCCATTATTACTTTTAAATTAAACCTGTAGTACATATGTCATGGTCTAGAATTCCTGAATTTTCAGGCGCGTGTAAGTTGAAACAGTTGAAATACTTATTGACGGTATAGAAGAAGGCTTAGTTTAAAAATTTTCCTTATCTGGTGATAGTGCATCACTGATGCCTCCAAGCAGGAACCTAAGTATATATAACGAGGAACACAAGTTTTAGTAAACCAAAATGAAATGCAGGGACTCAGCATAAGTTCGTTTTTAGGGAATGTTCAAAGTGTCTGGAATGCTCAGGGTCATTAGTAGGTCATCTTTGAGACGTCTTTACTCTAACCAGTAAAAATCCAGAGACTGAGGAGCTTTTCACAAGGTTTGAATTCGAGTCTGCGAACTGATTTCGTTGCTGACTTTCGGATTCGTTCCAGAATATTCTTTGGAGTAAGGTTAGGATCCAATCAACCTGGTAGAGAATAAGTCTAAAACTCTACTTTAAGACTGGCCAGAAGTTTACTTTGACGTTACTAGTTCAAAGTTTACCAAAAAGGCATTTTTATCACCGATAGAGCAAGACCAAAGATTGTAGGATATGAAGAGTCATATCTTTTTAAACTTGCGAAACTTCTGTAGGGGAGTTCCTGAACTTGCATATGTAGTCAGCCACTTGTTTCAAATGGACTGATTTACATTTTGAAATGGCCAAAGGTATGAATGTTGGATATATGTGAACAAATTAATGGCGACAGAAGATGAACCTGAAAAATAATACGTAATAAATTAGCCGTTATGAGACTAACAAAAAACATTTTTATTCGGTAAACATCGCTTTTAAAAGAGCTTTGGAGTAGAACTTGTATTCATCTTGCGACTACAGATCAATATTTTAATTGTGTTAATTTCATGAAAAATGTGAGTGATAGACAGAAATGAACAGCTGTGAGATTTGTTGATATTTTATCTCGTCATTAACCATATTTGAATGTAATAAATTAGCAACTTGGTGTTTATATATATATATATATATACATATATATATATGATTTCTGATTGTAACGGATGAAACTACCTTAACTAACAGCTATCCTGGATACGCTTATTCCAGTTTCAACGTGACTTACAGAAACTAAGTGATTCGTTCTCAAGTTTTTGGTTTGCAAGTCACCTGTTTATTTAATGTTACGTTTATTGTGAAAGTACACTTTCATGAAATGATTTTGAAACATTTGCTGCTGGAGATAAAATATCGGTGTTATGATCTCCTGGATAGATTGGTTGATATTAATAGTTTCATTGTCCTTATGAGACTAATTACGTGTTTCAAGGAGAAGCGAGCTGTCAGAATTCCTTTACATTTGACTGCAGCAAGTTTTATTTGGTTATAAACCATAACTTATGGCAGTTGTCCGCATGTTTGCTCTTTCATTGTTTTGCTCTCAACTGACATCTAACGCTGCATTTGCTAATCTCTTTCATTGCTTATCGATAGATTTGTAGTGTGTTATAATGCATCGAGCTCACATAACTTGTCCTAGCCTTCACAGCCAGTCTTTCGGTTTATGGTTCATTGTTATTTTTACCTTTTCAATCATTCATTTATAGTTTTTAGTTGTTTTTATTTGTTTGTGTGCACTGCTTGCCTCACTTATCACATATCTAGCCCATTTTTGTCTGATTATAAATACTCATCCATGCCTAATCAATGCAGCTGGCTCATTACTTACTTACTTACGCCTGTAACCCCCAATGGAACATAGGCCGCCCACCAGTTTTCTCCAACCAACTCTGTCCTGGGCTTCCCTTTCCAGTTCTGTCCAATGTTTGTTCATTCCTCTCATATCTTTCTCTATTTCTCGGCGTAATGTGTTCCTTGACCTTCCTCTTTTCCTTTTACCTCAAGGGATCCATGTGAGGGCTTGTCTCGTGACGCGGTTAGGTGTTTCTCGTACTGTGTCCTATCCACTTCCACCGCTTCTTCCTGATTTCCTCCTCCACTGCAATCTGGTTTGTTCTCTCCCACAGTACGTTGTTGCTGATGGTGTCTGGCCAACGAATCCGAAGTATTTTGCGAAGACAACTGTTAATAAACACTTGTATCTTCTGGATGATGGCTGTAATAGTTCTCCATGTTTCCGCTGCATACAGTAGAACTGTCTTCACATATCTATTGAAAATCCTGATTTTGGTTTTGGTTGAAAGTTTTTTGGAGTTCCAGATAATTTTCAACTGTAGAAACGCAACCTTTGCTTTGCCAGTCGTCGCCGTAACCTCTGCATCATATACACCTTTCTCGTCGATGATGCTGCCCAGATATGTGAAAGTGTTAACGTCTTCAAAGGCATCTCCATCAAGAGTGATTTGGTTGGTGCATGTTGTGTTGCATCGGAGAATTTCGCTTTTTCTTTTATGTATGTTGAGACCTACTGCTGCAGAGGCTGCTGCTACACTGGTCGTCTTCTCTTGCATTTGTTGTTGAGTGTGAGATAGAAGAGCCAAGTCGTCAGTGAAGTCCCAATCGTCCAGCTGCGTTCTAACTGTCCAGTTGATACCATGCTTCTCTCCAGATGTCAACGTCTTCATAATCCAGTCGATGACCAGGAGAAAGAGAAAGGGTGAGAGTAAGCAACCTTGCCTGACACCGGTCTTCACCTCGAAAGAGTCTGTGAGCTGTCCTTCGTGTACGATTTTGCAGTTTTATCCATCATAAGAATTCCGTATGATGTTAACTATCTTCTCAGGCACATCGTAGTGTCGAAGAAGCCTCCACAGTGTTTTCCTATCCACGCTATCGAATGCTTTCTCGTAGTCGATGAAGTTGATGTAGAGTGGTGAGTTCCATTCAATTGATTGTTCCACAATGATCCGTAATGTAGCAATGTGGTCAGTACACGATCGATCCTTACGAAATCCGGCCTGTTGATCTCGAAGTTGGGCGTCTACGAAGTCCTTCATTCTGTTTAACAATAGCCTGTTGAAGACTTTGCCTGGTATTGAAAGAAGAGTGATGCCTCTGTAGTTCTCACACTTGCTGAGATCGCCTTTCTTTGGTATTTTGATGAGGTATCCTTCTTTCCAATCTGATGGTACTTGTTCCTCATCCCAAATCTTCTTGAAGAGGATGTGAAATGTTTTCGCAGTTGCTTCTACATCTGATTTCATTGCCTCTGCTGGAATGTTGTCTGGTCCTGCTGCTTTGCCGTTCTTGATTTGTCTGATGGCCATACTGATCTCCTCAATTGTAGGTGCGCCAATATTAATTGGGAGATCCGTGGATGCTGCTTCGATGTTGGGTGTGTTCAGTGGAGCTGGTCGATTCAATAGTTCCTTAAAGTGCTCTACCCACCTATTTCGCTGTTCTTCAGTGTTGCTGATTATTTTCCCTTCCTTGCTTTTCACTGGTCGTTCTGGTTTACGATAGTTTCCGGGGAGCTTCTTTGTTGTTTCGTACAATTGTCTCAAGTTTCTGTCTCTTCAAGCCTTTGCAGCCGTCGTTGCTGGATCTTCCACCTATTTTCGTTTGTCAGCTTTGATGCTCTTCTTCACTTCCCTGTTTGCTTCTGTGTATGCAGCTTGTGCGGTAACTTTCTCTGCTCTTGTTCGGCTGACATTCACTGCTGCCTTCTTGTTCCTCCTTTCTTCAATTTTTGCAAGAGTACCAACAGGGATCCATTCCTTGTGATGGTACTTCTTGTGACCCAGAACTTCGTGACATGTTGAAGTGATTGCCTCCTTAATCCCTTTCCAATTGTTCTCCAATGTTGCGTCCTCTCCATTGAGTATATCGTGCAAGGCCTGGAACCTATTGGTGAGGGCTATCTTGAATTCGTTGAGTTTTACGGTATCCCGAAGAAAGGCTGTATTAAACTTCTGTGATGTTGTCTGCCCCGTTATCCAGTGCTTCTTTAGTTTCAGTTTCATTTTGGCGATCAGCAAATGGTGATCTGAAGCTATATCAGCTCCTCTCTTGGTTCTCACATCCTCCATAGTCCTTCTGAACGTTTTGTTGATACAGATATGATCAATCTGGTTTTGAGTAGTGTGGTCCGGTGAAATCCATGTGGCTTTGTGAATGCGTTTGTGCGGGAATATTGTGCCACCGATGACCAGTCAGTTGAAGGCACATAGGTTTGCAAATCTCTCACTATTTTCGTTCCTTTCTCAAAGTCCATGTTGTCTCATGATTTCTTCAAATCCAGTGTTGTCCATTCCAACCTTGGCATTCAGGTCTCCCATAAGAATCGTCAAATCCTTTGGTGAACATTTCTCGACGATTGACTGCAGCCTTTCGTAGAATTGATCTTTAACGTCGTCATTGTAGTCATTGGTAGGTGCATAACATTGGATGACGTTCATTGTAATGTTCTCTTTCTTTGTTTTGAAGGATGCTTTAATGATCCTGGGTCCATGAGATTCCCATCCTATCAGTGCCTTTTGTGCATGTTTGGACAGCATCAGTGCAACTCCTTGTGTATGTGCAGCATTTTCCTCTTCGTGACCAGAGTATAACAGCAGTTCCCCTGAAGCTAGTCTCAGTTGTCCTACCTGTGTCCAATGCGTTTCACTGATGCCGAGCACCTCGAGGTTGTATCTTTTCATTTCTGCCACAACTTGAAATAGTCTTCCAGTCTCCCACAATGTACGAACGTTCCATGTACCTTAAAAATTTGTTGCCCTGTTTGTCGGAGGAGGCATCAGCCCCGTGATTCCCGAGGGAACTCGGCTTTCATCACGCGACGTCAGAATTCTTCTTCTTCCAACTCTCGAGGCAGAGTCAAAATGGATTTTCTGGTTAGCGTACTTTTGGCAAGTTAGATTTCGACGGAATGTGGTCGTCAACCCTTTGTCCGACCCTCCTCCTCTATCCGGTCTTGGGCTCCGCAGTAGCCCCTAAGGCTCTACTGCCGGAGTT